GTCACTTTCTCCTGCTGTGTTTAGATCCAACATGTGTTGCACTAATGAAAACACAGGTCCCCTGTGGTTGTAGGTATGTCAGCTGCTGCCTTAGGCTCTGGCAGGGGTACCTGACCAGCCTCAGCTTGCCTCTTCCTACACTAATACCTCATCTGCTTGCCCCACCAGGTCCCTCCAGCCTCAGCCAAGCAACATGGGGTGAACCTCAGCACTCCCACACCTCCCTTCCAGCAGGCCAGTGGTTATGGCCAGCATGGCTACAGTACAGGTGAGGGGTGCTCCCCAGAGAGACACACGGGGTCAGACAGGCTTGCGTGGCTCACACTTGCCTCTTATACTCTGCTACGCTAGGTTATGACGACCTGACCCAGGGGACAGCAGCAGGAGACTACTCCAAAGGTGGCTATGCTGGATCATCGCAGGCACCAAACAAGTCTACAGGTTCTGGGCCTGGCAAAGGTAGCGTTTACCTCTCCTTTCCAGGATAAGGCCTGGAGTGGTGGGCTCCTGCCTGATCCCCTATCAGGCAGGGCAACCCCTGAGTGCCCCTGGAGGTGGGGAGCCTGGAGCTGGGAACAACTGCTGTGGGGAACAACTGCTTTTCCTCCTAGGAGTATCAGTGTCTTCAAGCACCGCCGGTCTACCTGATATGACTGGTTCTGTCTACAATAAGACACAGGTGAGGGACAAAGGTGGGTTGGGTGTATAGGTTTTTGGGAGGTTACAGCCCAACCTGACCTTCACCATTGTCGTCTTTGCCCTGCAGACTTTTGACAAGCAGGGATTTCATGCAGGGACCCCTCCACCTTTCAGCCTGCCCTCAGCCTTGGGCTCCACTGGGCCCCTGGCCCCGGGAGCGGCCCCTGGCTATGCGCCCCCACCATTCCTGCACATTTTGCCAGCCCACCAGCAGCCCCACTCCCAGCTGCTGCACCACCACCTTCCGCAGGATGCCCAGGTGAGCACAGTGATGGAGGTAGCCACCCTGCTCTAGGCTAGGGGTTCTGCTCCAGCCTTGACAGCCTTCCCTTCTCCTTTTCTGCAGAGTGGCTCGGGTCAGCGCAGCCAGCCCAGCTCCCTGCAGCCCAAGTCTCAAGCCTCCAAACCTGCCTACAGCAACTCTCCATACTGGACAAACTAAATCCGGAAGAGAGGGGCGTGCTGGGGCACGGCTTATCCTGGGCAGGAGAGAACACACGAGCACATATTTGGGAGCCCAGTGCCCTTCCCTAGAATTCCCGAGACATGTGTCAGCCATGCCTCTGTGGGGAGCCTGCCTCCCAGACTGGCTATTGTATGTAATGTATTTATGTATGTATTTGTAAATGTGATAGAAGTCTGGGGGAGTTCGGGGACGGCTGCAGATGTTAGCCAGGTCTGTTCTCCCCATTCAAGCCCCTTCTCCACTGTAGCAAAATAAGTGCCCCCACCCCATCTGCCTTCAGGTCCTCTTCATAGCCTGCACTGCCCAGTGGGTCACTAGGGGCAGTCTCTGGAAGGGCTGGTTCAAGGCTGTTTGGGTATAGGGGTCAGGTACCAATGAAGAATCACGACTTGTCTCACTCCTTTGGAAATTATTTGTTTTCTTTCCTGTGTAATTACTTTATACCCCTGTTTTTGAGAAACTGTTCATTTTGTCATCTGTCATGGTCTCCTTCCACCAAATCTTGATCTGGGAATAGCAGCGATATCCCTCCAGCCAACACAAATATGGGCACCTGTTTGTCTTCAAACAGCGGCTTCTAGTCTGGTCATGTCCCTAGAGACTTACTAGAGACTGGCTGACCATGAAAAAAAATAATAATCTCAGTTGTTCAGCCAATCAGCTCCCCTTTAAAAATCAAAGATATCTCCAAGCAACACATCTCCATTCCGGTTGTCTTGAACCAGGTGGGCAACTGTTTCAGGGGTTTTCTCTTGCCCAATCCCCACCTAATAAAGTTCTGAGAGCATGCACGTCTGTGTGGTGTGACTGAAAGGCAGCTCAGGGCAGAAGCCCTGGACTTCATAGGACTAAAGGAGACCTCACATGGTTGTAGTCTTCTGACACAGGCTATAAAAGCTTGAAATGGTTTTCCTTTTAACTGGACCGTCTTGGCCCAAATGACAATGGCTGTAAGGAGAGCTAAACCTCCTCACAGGGCCCAGGCCATGTTGATCAAAGTTAACCTGGCTTTTCTTACAGCTCCTTAAGAGACTTAGGGATAGGGCAGCTTGGGACCTTACCTAGAAAAAGGTAAGTGTCTACAAGTAAAATTAGGACTTTTATTAAATAGGGTGATCTGCCTGATCCCTGCTATTAGCAGCAGTAAGTTAGTTAGGAAAACAAATGACAGTGAAAATGTTTGCCTAAGGAAAGCAGCAGAGCACCCCTCAGTCCCTCATTGATCTACTTGTATCAGCTTCCGTTTTCAGAATCAAGTTTAACAAATGGCCACGTCTATAAGGAGCTTGAAGGGATTGGGGATACACCAGGGAGGTGAGTTAGAAAGGCAGATTCCCCAGTTGTGGTTTTTGTCTAATTTTTCAGCTGAGCCCTGGCATAATCTGCAAGGTTAACAGTGATATTGAGACCACCTTTTAGTTTTCTTTAACACAAGGTAAAAAAAGAAGAGGGTCATTTCATGGGGAAGTAGCAATACAGGTATTTTATTTCACATTTTATTAGTAGACAGATGGGCAGAAAAAGACAAAATAAACCACTAAAGGGGAAGTCAACACAAAATGCATCAGATAATCTTTTCTCATAAGTTAAACTGAAGAAAAACATCTACAATTTCAGCTAAAACTATTAAAGTCAGGTGTGTCCTGCTGGTTTCAGAATAGTTGAAAATTGCATCTCTGAATCCTTTTAGTTGTAAATGTAAACCTTGTTTATCAGGATGGGAGGGGTGGAGAGTTCATTTTCAGTGGAGAGCTGCACATTTCCCCTTCCGATCGGTTTCTTACAATATGTGCCCCAAACGTAAGGAAACCAGCAAGTAAAGAAGCAGTTTGCCAGGGCAAGTGAAAGAAGGTTTCTACAAAAAAGTCTGACTAATAGAAAAGAACTCTGGAATGATAAAAGGAGAAGGGGGGAAGACTGAAAGAAGCAACAGCGGAATCATATACTTTCTCCACCCAGCCTCAAAATACACAGAACTGAAGAGCATCCAGTGAGGCCTCAATTAGAATTAAAAGGAATCTAAAAATGCAAGATTTTGAGTTCATGTCACACCAAATAATAAGCACAACTGTACATACATGGTTCTGGATTGAGCCTGAGACCTCTACTCCCAGAAGAAAAAAAAAAAATTACAAACTCAAGTATTTTCCATAGGGATGTGTTCTCAGGGACAGAGCTCTGGAACCAGCCTCTGGGTTTCGTTCAGTCAGTCTAAAATACCAGAATGTCCACCTGCTAGCAAGAGACTTACCCAGTCTTCTGGAACTGATTGTACTCATCAGAGGCAAACCCAGCCCTTGACAGTTAACACCCCAAAGGACTGAAAGGTACAACCTCCACTTGGCGCTCTGGCTCCCTGAGTCAATGTGTAACAGAGGCCAATAGGGCCTGACGGAACAGAGCTGTGCAGCAGAGCACCTTCCGCAATGCCAGGGTGCCGGGGCTGCCCTGGGAGTGAGAAGCTTTCGCAGTAAGGGGAATGAAAGGCTTAATTTTAGGGCTCCAAGAGAATAAGACCAAGCTACTGGCTGTAAACTTGCATGGGGGTTTTGGGGGAGGTAAACCAGAGCACTGTGAGAGGCTCTGGCTCCAGAATATTTGCAGGTTAATCTGGAAGCATTACTTAAAAAGTATGGGGAGTAAAAAGGTAGTTCCAACATCTTTCTATGAGAGTTTGTGATCAGGCAACTTGACAATGTATTTCAAAGCTGCTCTGTTCCATGGATCTGACTGAAATCACTAGATTCTGGGGGCAAGTAGCAACCCTGGCCCTGTGGAGATCATGGAGATCACAGAGATGCTGGGACCGGGCTCAACGGTGTCCCCTAAGAGCCTTAGCTTGTTAAACAGTCCCATTTCATGCCAGACTAAACTTTTAGAGGCCGGGAAGGGCTACTGGGAAGAAGTCATGTGTTTGGGAGTTTGAAGAGAGAAAACCCTGAGATCAGAACGAAGGAGGAGCTAAGGAAGTAAGTGTCACCTACTCTGGCCATCCTAGGATCCCTCCTGCCCCTGTCCCTAATCTGCCCTTTGGTTCTGAGTTACGAGCCAAAGGAGGAGCTGACGCTAGTGCCCAGGGGTCTAAAATAGGACTATAGTCAGTCCTTGCTGCATTTGCCTTCTGTAATCTGATTTTACATTATAGCTGTTTCCTCCAAATAATGCCCTCTTATGATCTGGTGCGCCCCCATAACAACCAAACATTACCTTCAAGTTCTGAAGTCCCTGGATGGTGAAGGCTGCTGGATCTCAATATTGATTGAAGCAACATGATTGAGATCTGGAAAATCAAAAGCTGCAGCGAGTGCATCGCAGGAAGATCTAGCCGTATCTGGCCTAAAACCTGCCTGCAGTCAACTCTCTCAGCCCTGCCACAATTTCTATGCACAATTCTGCTTGCACTCCACAGCCTAAGTATGTTGAAAGGGGAAAAAAAGTCCAGATCACATCCAATGAAGAAAGCGGTAACTCGTCTCACACACATCCAAGTTTCTCACTATCAGTATAAGCAGCTCGATGAAAACCGAAATCTTAACACATGCACCTAGGATTAATACTGAGTAATTTAAAGTGGCTACTTGAAAAAACCAAAACGTCATGGTAAGAGTGTATATTTGATGGGAAGGCCATGCTGTTTCCTCTCCCAACAGTGGTCACCAGTAGTTTCAATTTTTTCCCCCCAGTAGTATCAACCAAACTTAGCATAGTGACTTTTAACTCTTTGTTCCCATCACTAAATCCACCCACACACACTCGTCCCAACTTCCCCACTTGCCCCACTCCCTGGGGGGAAAAATAACCCTGCCTTTAAAATAAATAGCAACCAAGTGCTCAGTTCTATGTAAAGTATGAATATTTATTTCAGGCTTTCAATCCCAATTGATTTCAAAAAACAAAGTCTGATTTCTCTCCTCAGAGCAGCTGAGGCCTCCATGTTACGATGGTTTCATGGAGATTGAAGGAGCACATTTCATCAGGCTTAGCAGAAAGTCCCTGACGCCCACCATGTCCCAGCCTTAGGAAGGGAAAGAAACAGAATTCACCACCATGGGGCTGAATGAATGCACACACACTAATGTAAATGAGCAGCTAAACCTTGGCAAATTTGCTTTTTTTTTTTTTTTTTTTTTCCAAGTTTGTTTTGTGGGTTTAATTCCATTTTCTTTTGCTACCCAGTATATGCAGCGCTTGTGAGCTCCCAACAGGTTCCCAGCTTTAAACACATTCAACCTCTTGAAAGACTATTGAATTCTTCAAGAATCTAAAAACAGACCAAACGTGTTTTGCTGTGAACATTCTGTAGAGACGAAGTGAGGCGGGAGTTTGGGCTGATGTTTTTTTAAAAAAGAATCAATACAGTGATGGAAGGGTAAAGAATGCAAGAATTCAGACATTCTGTGGAGGGTTACTCTCTCTCCATTAAAGGTCCATAAAAAGGAGCAAACTGAGATCCATAAGGGGAGTCAGCAGGAGCTGTGTGTGTTTCCCCACCCGCTGTGAATAGGTTTTTGCTGAGGGGCCATGGCCAGGTCCCCACTTGCTCCCCTCCCTTTGGCCTGAGACGGCAGGGCAGTACAGGGGCACTGAAGGAGCACGTCACGACTCCTCATTCCCAGAATCATCATCATCATAACAGTCGGCATCTTCCTCCTCCTCATCTTCATCATCAATGTCGTCGTCATACAAGTCGTCGTAAAGCAAATCTGAGCTGTTGTCATTGGAAGGCACTTTAGTTTTGATGCAGTATTCCGCCAGGGTTGTGGGGACCTTCACTCCATCCTTTTCTGCTTCGGCCTTAGTGGCTGAAACTTGTTTCCTGAAGGGAGGGTGACAAGAAGTGGTTTATGGTAAGTCATTGTTTTGAGACAGATTTATAATTGGCCTTAAATAATCAATATTACTTACGACTCAGCTCTCCAAACTTCAGTATCTGCCTGAAAGCATCTGACAGATACCCTGTACTACACCAAATGCTTTCAACCCATTGGGTACAATTTTGAAGTAAACTTTGACTTTTTAAGGGGGGAAATACACTGTTAACATCGAGGGAGTTTAAAGCAGTGGATCAGTTAATAGCCAGAATCACCTCGTCAGCTGGCTGTCCTCCACTTCATGTGAGGGCCAGTAGGTTGGCGACTAAGAATCAGAACAGGCATTGACTTAGTGGACGGAATGTTGTGCTTTGTTGTTTGCAGGTGTGAAGCACAGGGATAACTACTAGAATAAGAAGAGATAATAGAAGGACTAATATCCTAGTTTACTGGGGCTAGATCGTAAGATTGCGTATGCGAATAAAAAGTGCCACTCTGATTTAATGTGGGGTGGGGTGCTTAGGGGGTTGGCTAGAGTGTTAAGAGTTTTGGCCTAGTCACCTCACCACCAAACTCATGTGCCCCAACAATTCTTAATTATCCTCTTAATTTTCACTTATAGTAAAATTCAAATGCCTTATGCCAGATTCCAAAGTCTTGCACAACCCACTCTTCCCCACCTGAGACGGAGTCTCGCTCTGTCACTCGGACTGGAGTGTAGTGGCGCGATCTCAGCTCACTGCAACCTCGACCTCCCAAGGTTCAAGCAATTCTCCTGCCTCAGTGTCCCCAGTAGTTGGGATTACAGGCTCCCACCACACTTGGCTAAATTTTATACTTTTAGTAGGGACGGGATTTCACCATGTTGGCCAGGCTGGTCTCAAACTCCTGATCATGATCTGCCCAGCTCAGCCTCCCAAAGTACTGGGATTACAGGCATGAGCCACCGTACCCGGCCACACAACCCACTCTTATATTTTCTCCAGCCCTTCAACACATTCACCCTGGTCTTTTTTTGGTATCTCAGACACACCTTGTTGATTTTTCTGTCTGGACCAGTTGCTCTTCCCCTGCCCCACACATGCCTGGCTCCTTCTTGTCATTTGGAATGAAGGCCTCAGATATTAAGGCTTAAATATCACCTTAGAGAAGGCCTAGCCTCATGACCCAATTTAAAGCAGCCATCTAGTCATTCTTTCACATTATCCACTTAGCACTGTCTAGTATTTTTTGCTTGCTCACTCTTCTGTCTCCACATATTTCAGTGTGAGCGTAAATGTCTTTCTTAGTCCCTTCTATTTCCCCAGTCAGTGCCTGGCACATAAGAGATGGTGCAATAAATACTGATTGTATGAATGAACAGAACAATAAATTGTTTCCTTCAACAATTATAAAAATTTGAGTCGACTAGACCACTCTTCCTGATCTTCCTAATGTCAATCTCTTAGCTGTGCTTGAAGCTTTTCTTCTGTTGCCTTGCTTTGCATACTGATGGTCCTGAGGCTTCTGGGCTTGTCTCCACACTCAGCATGCTCCCTGGGACATCATCTCTGTTCCCATAATTTTAACCACGACTCCCTTTATGCTGACATCTCTTGGCTTATATAAACAAATACCTTTAGGAAGCCTCTGTCCCGACGTTCCATATGCAGAGGTAGACTGCATATGCATTTTCTACCTCTATGGCCAGTTTCTCCCATTTTACATCTCTGAATAAATGAGCATCGCTTCTTAAAATATAAATCTCACTCCAAAGACCTATTGCTTTACAACTTAAATATCTGTCCTCTCATCCCCATTACTACTGCCTCAGTTCAGTCCATGTTGGTCCCCTGGCCAATTTACTTTTTGTTTGTTTTTTTTGAGACAGGGTCTCCCATTGTCACCCAAGCTGGAGTGCAGTGACGCAATCTCAGCTCATTGCAACCTCTGGATTCAGGGCTCAAGCAATCCTCCCACCTCAGACTCCCAATAGCTGGGATTACAGGTATAACCCACCATGCCTGGCTAATTTTTTTGTAAAGATGGGATTTTGCCACATTGCCCAGGCTTGTCTCGAACTCCTGGGCTCAAACGATTTGCCTGCCTCGGCCTCCCAAAGTGCTGGGATTACAGGCATGAGCCATTGTCTTTTTTTTTTTTTTTGAGATGGAGTCTTGCTCTGTTGCCCAGGCTGGAGTGCAGTGGCGCGATCTCAGCTCACTGCAACCTCTGCCTCCCGGGTTCAAGTGATTCTCCTGCCTCAGCCTCTGAAGTAGCTGGGATTACAGGTGTGTGCCACTACTCCCGACTAACTTTTGTATTTTTTGGTAGAAACGGGGTTTCACCATGTTGGCCAGGTTGGTCTCGAACTCTTGACTTCAGGTGATCCACCCACCTCCAAAAGTGTTGCGATTACAGATGTGAGCTACCATACCAGGCAACTGTCTTTTATCAGAACTCAAACAGCATCACCTCTTCCCTCCCAAAAATACTTAAGTGGTATCCCCATCCCTTCTTAGATTAAGAACCATACTCTTTTATCATGACTTCAATGTCTTTGAAGACCCTGGTGCCTCTCTCACTTAATTTTCTAGTATTTCCCACATCAGAATTTACACTCAAACATCTGTAATTCCCTTAACATGTCATGCTATTATACTCCTGTATTTTAGCAAACATGGGTGTTTTCCCTTTTTTCACCTGAAAAAGTATTGGTTATGAGGAATTCTGTCTGCTAGGAAATCTATTACATTATGTATTTCTCCCAATGTATCTTGTTTAGGCTTCTATAGGTATAATACTACATGGTCATTTGTTTTCAAATGCTAATAAAGTGAGCTCCCTAAGGAGACAGGCTATGCCTTAGTGAGTACCTGACACAAAGCTGTTGCTGAGTGTCAGGTACTGTACTAGGTCATTAAGGCATAGATAGGATGAGATAAAGGGGCCCTTAAACAATTAAGAAACACATAGAAGTACCTTGGGAATGTGTGTACAGAAGCTTTCCCATCTTTCCATCCTTAGGACACTCCCACTCCTCTACACTTCTCTAGGATCTTACTATTTCTACTAATTATCTTCAATGTTTGGTACACATCAGTCACCTAGGTGAGATATATATATACACACACAGATGCCCAAACTCTGTCCTTGTAATCCCATAAAAGACAGTTATCGTTTAGGGACACTTTAAAAGTGATCCCAATGGGCAGAAAACTTAGAACTCCTGATCTTGTATTACTTAGCAGTCACCTCATGTGCTTTCCCAGCATTGTTTTAACTTTTTTCATATCACATGGTCTCAAGCCCACTAGATTTTACTCTTTATTTGTATAAACGCCAATGATTAGTAAAATCCTATGCACAGAGGAAGTTTTAACTGTATTTGGGGTCTCTATTTTTAAAAATAAAAATGTAATATCAAGGGGGGTTGAGGCCAGGCACGGTGGCTCACAGCTATAATCCCAGAGCTTTGGGAGGCTGAGGCAGGAAGATCACTTGAGGCCAGGAGTTCAAGACCAGGCTGGGCAACATAGCAAGACCTCGTCTCTACAAAAAATAATAATAGAAATTAGCTGGGTGTGGTGGTGCATGCCTATAGTCTTGGTTACTTGGGAGGCTGACGTGGGAGGACTGCCTGATCCCGGGAATTCGAAGTTACCGTGAGCTGTAATCACACCATTGCACTCCAGCCCAGGCAACAGAGTGAGACCATGTCTGTCTCTTTAATTCCAGCACTTTGGGAGGCTGAGGCTGGTGGATCATGAGGTCAGGAGTTTGAGACTAGCCTGGCCAACATGCTGAAACCCTGTCGCTACTAAAAATACAAAACTTAGCTGGGCATGGTGGTGGGTGCCTGTAATCCCAGCTACTCGGGAGGCTGAGGCAGGAGAATCGCTTGAACCCAGGAGGTGAAGGTTGAAGTGAGCCAAGATCATGCTACTGCACTCCCACCTGGATGACAGAGTAAGACTCCATCTCAAAAAATAATAATAATAATTAGAAACAAATAAAAAGGAGGTGGAGGGTAGGGGAAGGGTAGGGTTTGTATTTATTGCAGATGTCTTGGGTACTATTATAAGAACCTGATGTCCTAAGAGATTAAAGGTTGAGCTTTTTTCCATTTTATACAGAGGAAAAAGTAAAAGACCCCAAAAATTATCTGATAAATGGTCCCATGAGTAGATTCCAAGTCCCCTGATTCTTATTCTAGGGCTCTGTTATACCATATATTAGTGTTGCTGATAATGTGGATTTCCGAAAGATCCTTGCTGCTATGGTCAATTTTTTTTTCTTTTCTTTTTTCTTTTGGAGACGGAGTCTCGCATTGTCGCCCAGCCTGGAGTGCAGTGGTGTGATCTCAGCTCACTGCAACATTCAACTCCCGGGTTCAAGCAATTCTCCTGCCTCAGCCTCCTGAGTAGCTGGGATTATAGGTATGTACCACCACACCTGGCTAATTTTTGTATTTTTAGTAGAGATGGGGTTTCACCATGTTGGCCAGGCTGGTCTCAAACTCCTGACCTCAGGTGATCCGCCTGCCTCAGCCTCCCAAAGTGCTGGGATTACAGGTGTAAGCCACCATGCCTGGCCAGAACCTAGAAGTTCTGGTTCCTAGAAAATCAGGTCTGCTACTGCATTATCTTCTAGTGGCTGTTCTCTTGGTAAATAGCAAAGTTCATTAGGCTCAGGCAGAAACCTTCTCTTCCCACACTATAAATCTAATAGAGGAAAATTATCCTGGAATGGACAGGATATTTAAGTGTGATGTAAACCTTTAGTTCCAGAATATATTTTGGTTTTGTATAATGACTTGAGATAATTTGGGGAAAAAAAAAAAAAAAAAAAAGCACCTTACCTAATAATTTCAGCATATTCTTTGTCTTTTCCTTTACTGTCTCTCCATTTCCTGAACATAACTGAAGCATCGACATTGGCTGGGGAGAAGGTGTTGGGCTCATTAAGCAGTGAGATTACACTTAATAGGATAGTCCTAGAAACAGGAAAAAAGGATCAGCTATGAATACCCATATTTACAGTATTTAAAAGTATTCTGCTTTTTAAGAAAGTACAATCAGATTTCAAATTCTCCCTCCCTTAAAATTTTTCTGATACAATTTAATTTGAGACCTTGGGGCAACAGAGACATCATACATTTTTTATTGATGGTTTTCATAAAAGGCATTTAAGAAAAATTTAAAAAAATTTTTTTCCAGTACTAAGAAACAAGCTGCTAACTGGTAGGCAAAGCAGAGGAAATCCGTGATTCTAGTATAAGGGTAATGCACAAAGCATAAAAATGAACCTGATAGAAGGCCCTGTTTCAACTGGTCCCATGTTCCAACCTGCAGAAAGTGGATGTCTTGGAAGCTTTCAAATACCATTTATTTTAAAAATGACAAATTAAATGACATGGGGGAAAAAGCTTAAAATATTTAGTTTCAAGGCAATCTTGATGTGAGAGAGGGTAAAAAATTATGCTATTTTATATAAACAGTTTTCTTTTTGCTTTTTTTTTTTGAGTTTCACTCTTGTTGCCCAGGCTGGAGTGCAACGGTGTGATCTCAGCTCACTGCAACCTCCACATCCCAGGATCAAGCGATTCTCCTGCCTGCCTCAGGTTCCCGAGTAGCTGGGATTACAGATATGTGCCTCCATGCCCCGCTAATTTTGTATTTTTAGTAGAGACAGGGTTTCTCCATGTTGGTCAGGCTGGTCTTGAACTCCCGACCTCAGGTGATCTGCCCTCCTCAGCCTCCCAAAGTGCTGCGATTACAGGCTTGAGCCACCACGCCCAGCCCTGGTTTTGTTTTGTTTTGTTTTTGACAGGGTCTCTGTGGCCCAGGTTGGAGTGCAGTGGTGCCATCTCAGCTCACTGTAACCTTTGCCTCCTGGGTTCAAGCAATTCTCCTATCTCAGCCTCCTGAGTAGCTGGGATTACAGGCATGTACTACCACACCTGGCTAATTTTTGTATTTTTAGTAGGGACGGGGTTTCACCATGTTGGCCAGGCTGGTCATGAACTCCTGGCCTTAAGTGATCTGCTTGCCTTGGCCTCCCAGAGTGCTGGGATTACAAGTGTGAGCCACCGCGCCCGGCCCTATATAACCAGTTTTTATTGTGGCCTCTTAACTTGAAAGACAGTACTACATACAAATGTATTTTTTCCATACTTGGAAGGAAGACAAAGTAATGCAGGAGAATGGAGGAAAAGCAAAATCCTTCAAACGGAAGAACTAGAGTCTCCGAATAACAGAGACTCTATCTTTATTCAAAAGTATTTACTCTGTACCTACGGTTTGCCAGAGGCACCAAGTGAGATGTTGGATGTACAATGGCGAGCAAGTTAGATGCCATCCCTGGCTTCCCATGGCTTACAAATTCTAGTGGGTGTTAAAAACGGCCAGTTTTCATCCACAGATAAAAATTAGACATTCCAAATAATCAGGGAATAAAGTTTATGTTAGAAAGCATAATAGGGGCCGGGTGCGGTGGCTCACACCTGTAATCCCAGCACTTTGGGAGGCTGAGGCAGGCAGGTCATGAGGTCAGGAGTTCGAGACCATCCTGGCCAACATGGTGAAACCCCATCTCTACTAAACATATAAAAATTAGCCAGGCATGGTGGCAGGCGCCTATAATCCCAGCTATTGGGGTGGCTAAGGCAGGCAAGAGAATCACTTGGACCCGGGAGGCAGAGGCTGCAGTGAGCCGAGATCGCGCCACTGTACTCCAGCCTGGGCAACAGAGCAAGACTCCATCCCAAAAATAAATAAATAAATAAATAAAAGCATAATAGGCTCCAAAACTGTTCCAAATTACTCCTAGGCTTTTCCCCCCTAAAAACTACATGCATTAGGAGAAAATGGAAGGAAAAAAGAAATTTCTCGCTTCTCATTGATGAAAGGTTAGAGATTGTGTTGTTGCAAAATACCCTTTTGCTTTGGGCCCCAAGCAAAAAATAAAGAGAGGAAACCAGGCACTTAGATGTTTGATTTGATGAAAACTTTTCCTTAAAAAGGTGAAGAATTTCTGTTGTATGATTTATATAAGATTATGACAAAGGCATTTTCAAAGAAAACATTTCTATCTAGTTAAAATCCATTGATTGCACATGCTCCTTTCTATTAGGTTAAGGATAACTCCTTGGCCTTCCTCCCTCAAGAGCTTTCTGGATTTCTTCAGTAATTACATTAAAAAGAGTCAAAGGCGGCCGGGCATGGTGGCTCATGCCTGTAACCCCAGCACTCTGGGAGGCCGAGGCAGGTGGATCATAAGGTAAGGAGATCGAGACCATCCTGGCTAACACGGTGTAACCCCATCTCTACTAAAAATACAAAATATTAGCTGGGCGTGGTGGTACATGCCTGTAGTTCCAGCTATTGAGGAGGCTGAGGCAGGAGCATTGCTTGAACCCGGGAGGCGGAGCTTGCAGTGAGCTGAGATGGCGCCACTCCACTCCAGCCTGGGTGACACAGCGAGACTCTTGTCTCAAAAAAAAAAGTCAAACTCATCAAGACGGAAAATGAATGGACATCTTAGAAGTGCAAGAAAAATACGGTAGAACTTTACATAAAGGTTTCTCCAAAAGAAAACACATAAAATCTATTAGGAAGATAAAAAGGATAAGGACGAAGTATGTTATAAACAGGTAGTTGGCCAGGCTGTTCTCAAACTCCTGGGCTCAAGCAATATTCCTGCCTTGGACTCCTTAAGTACTGGGATTTCAGGTGTGAGCCACTGCTCCTGGTTAGAAAAACAGTGTTTTATAATTTTTATTTATTTATTTTTGAGACGGGTTTCGCTCGTCGCCCAGGCTGGAGTGCAATGGTTGGATCTTGGCTCACTGCAACCTCTGCCTCCTGGGTTCAAGCGATTCTCCTGCCTTAGCCTCCCGAGTAGCTGGGATTACAGGCATGTGCCACCACGGTCGGCTAATGTTTTACATTTTTAGTAGAGATGGGGTTTCACCATGTTGGCCAGGGTGGTCTCGAACTCCTGACCTTGGGTTATCCACCCGCCTCGGCCTCTCAAATTGGGGGATTACAGGCATGAGTCACCTTGCCCGGCCAGAAAAATAGGTTTAATTGTCTAGATCAGTACTGTGTACTAACAACTTTCGATGATGATGATAATGTATAACCTATGCTGTGCAATATAGTAACCAGTAGCCACATGCAGCTACTGAGCACTTTGAAATGTATCCTGCACAAATGAGGAAGTGACTTCTAATATATACGTATTTATTTAAAGAGGGTCTCACTATGTTGCCCTGGCTGGAATACAGAGGCTATTTATAGGCGTGATCATAGCACACTACAGCCTCAAACTCCTGGGCTGAAGGGATACTCCTGCCTCAGCCTCCCAAGTAGCTGGGACTACAGGTGCATGCCACTGTGCCAGGCTAGTACTTAATTTTAATTCAAATGTAAAAAGCCACATGTAGTTAGAAGCTACCACATTGGACAACACAGATGTAGATGAATCCTATTACCTGAATTAAGAAAAAATTTTCCCACAAGTGGTTTCCCCAAGTTGGTTTTCTTACATCTTGTATATTAAGACAGTGTATATATTGGGAAACAAATTTTTAAATGGTAAATCATCCATATTTAACAAAATGAGAAATTCTAATTCCACGTCCTCCTAAGTTAAAAACCAGGATGTTTTAAGATGCACTGAGTAATACAGCAGACTAATATAGTGGTAACTGTCAACCCAGTAAGTTTTCTTCTGTCTGAAGAGCAGAATCTTTTTCTTTTTCTTTTTCATATGGGGAATAATTTCCTTCTCCTACTATTGTGCCACACCTCCCATACAAACAACCTCCTACCCACAGCAGTAGACATAAGACCAAGCAAGTGCTGCAAGGATTCCATCCCTTTTGTTATGGTGATGCATTTGAGGTATGCATGTGACCTAACCTGGGCCAATCAGAAGCCTGGTGGGAACTATTCTTGATTAGATGGAGAACTGTGAGAATAAGGAAAGCTGAGAGAATTGGTCTCACGCAGATGGATGGATGTGAACTGGAAAAAACTAAACTTCTGAGATAATACTGTTGGAATACACAAAACTGAATTTGAATTTAAGAACCATTTCAGACCAGGTGCGGTGGCTCACACCTGTAACCCCAGTACTTTGGGAGGCTGAGGCAGGCGGATCACCTGAGGTTGGGAGTTCAAGACCAGCCTGACCAACCAACATGGTGAAACCCCATCTTTACTAAAAATACAAAATCAGCCAGGTAAGTTGGCACATGCCTGTAATCCCAGCTACCTGGGAGGCTGAGGCAGGAGAATTGCCTGAACCCGGGAGGCGGAGGCTGCAGTGAGCCAAGATTGTGCCATTGCACTCCAGCCTGGGCAACAAGAGCGAAACTCTATCTTTAAAAAACAAAAACAAAAAAACTATTTCAACTGCTAGCTCATTTTTTTGTTTAAAAAAAAGAGTTTAAGTGTTTAAAATCCTTATTCAATTACTGTATTTTCTCAGGAGAAACAAGAGGTTGGACTAGCAAAATAGACCCTGAGGGTTCATCATCCCCAGACTCTTGGTTCCTATAAAGAATAACTGTACTACCCTTTGCTTCCCCCGCACCCCACAAGAACACACTGGTGCACTACCCTTCTCTACTCCACACCTGGAGGAACAGATCTGATCTCAGTCCAGCAGAATACATGTTTAACATTTATTATAACAAAGAATAGGCCTAGAGGGAATTTGGGATAAGAATGAGGGCCAGAGAGTTCTTAGTATCTTTGGTTCATTACACAATTCCCACCACCACCATTCAAGGAGTTAGGGATACTCCCAGAAAAAAATGTGCTCCTTCTGCCCCTCTTTATGCCACAGCCAGGGAATAAGATAGGTCTTTTCAGGATAGAGGATCTAGGCCAAAAGAGAAAAATGCTAAGAAGAGAAAGGAAACACAGAAAAAAAGGACAGGCAAAAGCACCTCACTTTACAGTCTTCAGGTTCATATTTCAGATC